CTGCCCACAACAGAACCGTGGTCCTTGGTCTGACTCTGCTCCTGTGTGTGTCAAAGTGAACAAATGTGTGTTAGAAACCCCTGACGCAAGCTCAGCGCTGCCCCAGCATCGTGAGCCAGCCGTGCTGGCCATGGCACCAGGATGCTAAAGGAGACATCCCCAGGCCGCACCGTGGCCCGATGTTGCCCGCGGGTTGTGCAGAGGATGGAGCCTCCATGGCCTGAGCTTCCCGGGGCTTTGCTGCGTTGGCGCGAGCCCCGTGTGCTGCCAGCCGCTCTGCCTCCCGCGGGATCCAGCCCGCTGGCAACCTTCACCTTCCTCGGCAGGCACTGCAGGAAAGGCCTTGGGGGAGAGCAAGGAATGGGGAAACACGGCAGACACGGGCAAAACGCACAGAATTGTCACTCTTTGCCCACCCAACTGCTTTCACAAGGTCACCGTGCTGCCCACAGGGGCCGCGGGTTGTCCTTGGGAGCATTTGTGTGAGCGGTCACAGTGACCTCTCGGCTCCCCGGACACCCCAGGGGGCCCAGGGCCACCGACGCCGCGCGGGGTCACGTGGGCTGCTGCGCTGCTCCCGCCGCCTTCCGCCGCCTGGGCAGCTGTCCAACATTTTTCGCATTATTTTCCTCCCTGTGCTTCAGCCCAACTTCCTTTCTGTAAGCGAGGCGTTTATAGGAAATGGAAGCAGCTCAGGACGGGTCCGCAATGCCGAGGCTGCAGCCTGCGGAGCGGCTCCCTCACCACTCCTGGCCGTTTCAGGACTAGATCCCTCCCTTTGCCCAGCATAACCGGGCATTCTGTTAACCCCTGCCAGCCTGGTGTGCGCTTGCTCCAGGGGCAGTGGGATGTTCCCTCGGAATATGAGGCTGTGCTGTGACTTTGTGGCCCCGTGCTGGCGTTTCCAAAGGGAAATGGGTTAGATGGGGGAAAGGGAGAAAGCACATGGGGAAGAGGGTGAGGAGGGTCTGCATCAGAGTGGGGTGCTCTAGGCTGGAAGGAGGTGATAGAGGGAATGGGAAGGGGGCAGTGTGGGGGGAGATAAAGGAGCCCCAGGTAGGGGTAGGAGTAGGCATAAGGGTAGAGGTAATGGTAGGGGTAGAGGTAGGGGTAGATGTAGGGATAACAGTAGGGGTGGGGGCAATGGTAGGGGCAGAAGTAGGGGTAGAGATAGGGGTAGCAGAAGTGGGGGAAAGGTAGGGGTAGGGGCAGTGCTGGGGGTAGAGGTAGGGGTAAGGATAGCGGGCGGGGGGAATGGCAGGTGTAGGGGTAGGGGCAAGGGTAGGGGTAGGGGCAATGGAAGGGGTAGAGGTGGAGGTAGAGGTAGGGGTAACAGTAGGGGTAGGGGTAGAGCTGGGGTAGGGGGTTATGGTAGAGGTAAAGATAGGAGTAGGAGCAGTGGTAGGGGTAGGAGTAGGGAGGCCCAGCGGTGGTGCAGGGCTGTTGAGTGCCATGGGTGCCTGTGCCCCCGGCATGGGGAGGAAGCAGGCAGCGCGGCGAGGAAGCAGATAAGGGGTCTCACGAGCCGCGCGCCTGCTCCACCGCCCCCCAGCATCCTGTGCTTCCCGACCCCCAGGCCAGGAGGGGGCTGCACAGGGCCCCTGCTGGGGCTTCTCCTGCCCTGTGTACCCCGCACGCTCCCTCTGCACCAAGTGCCCCAAGCACGCACCTGCCCCTGCACCCCTGCTGCCAGGGGTACCCGGCACCCCGCACGGCCACGGCCCCCAGCCCCCCTGTCCATGGGGCTGCACACCCAGGGGGGCCCTCGGCTGGGGGTTGTTGGTGCTGCTCCTGCCACTTTGGCTCACCTCTGGAAGAGAAAGCCACCCGGAGCCACGGCATTCCCTAGGGAGCAGAGGGCCATGCCGTGCACTTGGCTCATGGATACGTGACATCTTGGAAAACTTCCCGTTCCAGCGTCATGGGAAGCTCAGCACCAGCGAGTAGGGCTGTGCTGCAGGGCCATGCTGGCGCCATCCCAAGCCGGCAGCGCAGCTGGGCCAGGCACGGAGCCGTTGTGCCAAGTGCGGCACGCCACCCCGCAGGGATGCCCAGCAGCTGCGGCCTCTCGTGTTCCTGGAAATGCAGCCTTTCCACAGCCCCACGCTCAGCACCATATTTCAAGATACTTGACATGGAAGGACAAATAGCACTGGCTGGAGCAGCCTTGGAGATCTAGCTATTATTAAGTCATTATTAAATTATTGTGAAGTATTTCCTCTGCATGAGGGAGGCAGTTCTAGATTTGGGATGATCCTGCCCAGATAAATGCGACTACAGGCTTTCAATCATCTGCTTCTGGGGCTCAGCTACCATTAAAAACAGAGAATTAGCAAAGCGCAGGGGTGATCCGTGGCTGCAAAGGCGGCTGCCAGGTCCCGTCCCTGGCAATGCCGCCCTCGCGGAGCGCCCGCGGAGCGGGAGGCTGGCGGAGCACCGCAGCACGGCCAGGCCCGCCACAGGGTGGCTGCGTTCCTCAGCACTCACATTTTTCCACCTAAACGCCCCAAGTGCAGGTGTGTTTGCTCACCCAACCCAGTGTGCTATTCCCTGCTGCCCGGGGCAGCGGCGCAGGCTGTGCATGCCCTCGTCCACACGGGAATAAGGGAATGGGATGAAGTTTTGTAACCTCAGGGTAAGGAGTCTGACACATAACATGGGCAGCAGCTGGGTTGTTATTTCCTTGTTTGAGCTGCAAGATAACGAAGGCACCAACAGGCAAACAGCCCTAGGGACGTGCGGGCACCGGGCACGTCCCGGGCACGATGCAGCCCAATGGCACACGGAGCAGCGCGTCCGTCGCGGGGCCTGTGCGGATGGAAGCCGGGGCAGCAGTGGCAGCTCCAGTTAGGGCTGCCGACCTCCCGTTTCCAGCACGGGGCTGTGGTGCCAGCTCATTAACAGCCCTCCTGCGGCTCCGCTTTGCTGCCCCGTCACTCCAGGAGGCTCCGTCTGCTTTTTTCCGCAAAGGCACCTGAGAAGGAAACAACTGAGCTGTGGCAGCCGGTGCCCGCCGGGA